GGCGGCGGGGGGCGCAGCCGGCGGGGTGATAACCGGGGCCTTCTGCGAATTGAGGGTGAGAAATGGAAAAAGAGGGTTAGAAAGTCGTTTCCATTCTGGTGAACTTTTGTTTTCTGACCGATAGAGGCCGGTAGAGGACTGTGGAGAAGGAAAGTTTATAACCAGCGGCACCAGGATGGACTTCCCTGCTGCCCAACCAAAACCTGCTGCCGATGGTAAAATCATCTACTATCCTCCTGGAGTGAAGGAGATTACGGACAAAATTACCAACGATGAGGTAGTTAAACGGTTAAAGGTGAGCAACCCTGACCACCACCCCCTTCCCTGCAACTTTTGCTTCTTAAGGTCAACATTTCATCACAGGAAGGAAGAACTGCCAGAGTTTCCTTGTGTCCTGGTTCAGTCAAAACTATGACACCTTGTCATGGCTGAAATGTCTCTTTCTTGCCTGCAGACCTTTATGAGAATACTGCTTCCTTGCTTTTCCTTAAAAGAGGAGTCGTCATTTTGGTGATTCGTGACTGTACTCTTGCAAGTTCTCTCAAAGCCAGAGTTGATACATTAAACTGCTAATTTGTACATGGAATACATCTGTGCTGTTGGGGAGAGGTCTGAAGTGGAATCATAAGTAATAATTGCAGGATATGTTGCTGAAAATTTTTGTTAGTAAGCTAGAAGGTTTTTGTGGGTTCCAGTGCTTAAAGCAAGCAAAGTTGCATGGGGGAAACAAGTAGATCTAGTTAAGGGTATTCTTGACTGAAAAGATAGCACTCTTCACAAACAGCAAAGATTAATTTCTGGAGTTTGTAGATGGAATTTTGAAATTATTTCACACGTAAAACCTGCCTCAGATTTTCCAATTTGATATAATTTGTGTAATTTATTTTCCATGCAGTATAATTGTGGCTTGGCAAAGCTGCTAAATTTTCGTAAGCATTTTGCTTATGGGACTGTTATAAAAGCATCTTCTCTGCTTGTTTGCCAGCATCCTGAGGGACTGTGAGGGTTATCTTTGTTTTTTTGTTTTTCTGATCCCTTTTTCCACTGGAAACATGAAATACTACTGTGATATAGTAGTATTATTTCTTAACTCTATGTTGAAAATAGAGAATAAAGTTGAGCATTGATCAAATGTTGGCACAGCTCGTTTGTTAACACAGTCGTCACTACCAGAACCAGAAAGTTGTTGTAACCTGGGATTTGGTCCTATGCTCAGAGTGGAAATGTAGTAATAATTTTTTTGAGATCGGAAGTATTGTCTTCTCTGGTGATCTGTTTCCCATCACAGCAGTGACCCCACAAAGACTGAGAAAGAGAAAACATGGTTGTGGCTAGTCAGTTAGTACTTTGAAAAATGTCTTGTCTATAAATGTGAAAAGAATGTAGGATTTGTGCTTTGCTTTCAAAACAGCAAGGCACATGTCAGTTGTTTCTTTGAAAACGAGCCTTGCTGTGCAATTACAGTTTTCAAAAATTATTGAATGGAGAGTTGCAACCTAGTATTTCCAAAACTCAAGTGGCATATTGCCAGTTACAGGAGAAGATCCTAGAATTTTGATTGTTTGGACAGAGACCTTTAATCGAAGTCTGTGTGGAATGGGGAGGAGTGCAGTTTTGAGGTGATGGTCAAAATGGGTATTTTATTTTGTCCCAGTTGGAGAACTTGCAGTGGTGAGCTGTGCCATTCCTAGCCAATAGGAATAATAGAATTTCAAAGTCCTGCATAGATGTTCTGCTGAATTCACATGTGTGTGTTGAACATAATTTTCAGGTTGAGAGCAGATTTTTTTTCTGTCATTTCTTTATGAACTGCTGTTAAAGAATTCAGATGGTCTCAAGACTGTAGACTAACTTTAAATGGGAACAAGTACTGTGTTAGTGGACCTATCAGCACTGAAACAACAGAGGCAGATTTTTCTTATTGTATTGGTTCTTCTTAATCTGAGTTTGAGGAATATTTTTGGTCAGATATTGGCTTTTCTGAAGCATCAAGAAAATCAGAGGTACTGTATACTTTAGAAGTAAACCAACAAGTTATTTTCTTTATGTTTTTCTATAAACATATATGTATAATCTTTCTTTATGAAATCCATGCTTCTTTATATCAACTTGATTTATAAAAACAAATTCACTTTGGCATGTGGAGTATTACAGTGATGCAGTGCTTGGGATGGAAATGTTTGAAAAAATTTTGTTCAATTAAAACATAACTTTTCACAAGTTTAAATATGACTTAGTGATAAAAGCCAGCTTTATCAAAGTGTACAAATTCAAGCATGAATTGATCCTTGAAACTAGTTTTTTTGCCACCTTCTTGGCCGTGCATGATCTAAAGATTCTCTGTGTGTTTCTTACAGAAGATGTGTGTGTAATTTAGTGTTTTGGCCACCAGGCTTTGAGTCGGTTCCTGCAAATTTTTGTTCTTTTAGCTTATCGAAGTCATGGTCAACTTAATTGGTTACAAATTAGTGTCCTTATTAGCAACTTTTCTGATATCACATCTGCATTTTTGTGTTCAGACCTCTTCTTGTAATGAAGGCTTTTCTTATTATTGGAACTTGAGACCTTCTGGGCACCTGTCCCAGAGTGCCTGAGCAGCAGCTTTTGTGCCAAGGACTTTTAAAAAGAATGTTTTTCTATCCTTTTCCTCCTTCTGCTTGGGGTTGTGGATAGTAAAATGTAGGCCACATTAATTTACAGTGTTTTGATATATCTGTATGATAACATTACCACTGCCCTGAAAATTGAAGTATTGATAATTTTAAAATGAACACGTACCTTCTGAGCAGTGTACAAAGGAAAAGTCTCTGGATTGCATATGTATGATGAATGAAACATCAGGTGCATAATGAAGTCAAAGGTGGTTTCTGGTGTGTTAGATTACATTAATGGGTCAGTGCCTTCTTAGAGTGGGACAGTATATGATGTATAATTTCAGCTATTGAAGAAGTGATGAGTGATTTTAACTGTGGTGTGCTATGGCTGGGGACAAGTGTCCATTCAATAGATCCAATTAAGTTTAACCAAACTAGGCAGCTAGCATGTAGCAGAAAGTTGAGGCTCACTGAACTTTTGACTACAACATTTATTTTTATTTTTAGGTTCATGTTCCTCTTTAGAGTGCATCTCTTCAATTTATAAAGTGATTGGTTTCAGGGCTGTAAATCATATGCTTGTCAATGTAGTAAAGCTTGTGGGGACAGGAGGTAACTTTTATTTAATCAAGCAATAGAAGTGGAAAACAAACAATTCTAAGGCACCCAAGTAATCCTCCTTCAGTTCCAAAATTCAATCAGCAGCTAAATACAAGTTCAGGACAATTGTACTAGCAATATTATGTTTCTTCCTGTAAGATAGTTGAAGGTCGAAAGAAGTTTTAGAAACTCAGCATCCACTTTGCTACAAAGCTTCTGTACGACTATTGAATTATTTTTTTTTCATTGGCTGTGTTTCACTGCCTTGTCAAACTCCAGACTTGTGTATTGTTGACAGTAAACTATTAAATCTCAGATATAATTTTCTTTGGTCACAAGAATATTTTGATGTCATTTATATGTAACTTTGTCATCATTATGAATAAGACTAATGGTAGTGTACTTAATTGGAAGATATACTAAAAATAGCCCCATCAATCCAAAATACATAAGAGTTTTTCTGAGACTGACATAAACAGCCTTTGTAGGCAAAGCCAGAACTAGCACTGAAAGAAGTGGCTCTCTCTGCTCCTTGTCCCAGCCTCTGTTCTGTACCCTCTCTATTACCGTTTTATTTTGCCAAATGCCAGAACAGATGGGTGAACAGATCTGAGTTAAAACACAGAAGGAGAAAAACCCAGACCTGTGTTAATTTTAGCCTGAATAATTTTATTGCCTGGCTTATCATTAGGGCTCACAAAGGCTTGTGCTGGCATAGGAGAAAAAGTAACTTTTTTCCGTGGCAGTCCTGCCTTCGAGTGTTGAAGGAACTTCAGAGTCGATTTGAATGTGAAAGTTTGCAAATGCTGTCTTTTGAGATAGAGATAGGGACTTTTGCATTGTGCCTGCAAAACTATCTTGCCTGCTAGATTTTTTAAGTAAAAGAAATAATGCATGACCATGAGTTCAGATATAGTATTGTCCCAACAACTATGCAGTTTGATAAAGTGTATGACAAGTCGGTAGAAAAAAGAAAACGTTTGTAGTGCAACGTTTTCTTTTACCTATAGATATCAGTGTAAGCAACACCAATTCATAAAATCTGTAAAACGCATATTTAATCAGACACTGAAAATACAAAAGTACAAAAAAAAAAAGGAGGAAATTTATGAAACCTTCCAAAGGAAAAGGAATGATAAATTGGTTTCAGCATAGAGGTTTTTAACAAAAGTTTAAGGCAGTGTAAAAACCTGGGTTTTTTTTGTGAAATTAGGTGTTTTATAGGTTAGAATTTGTTGAGGGCGGTGTAGTTCTTTATCATAGCTGGGGTTAGTATTCTCCTTTATGTGGTTTTTGTTTGTTTTGGGGAGTGATATTCCTTTTGTTTTTCAACCAGTCAAGTAGTCTTGTTGCTTTTCTCATGGTGACAGTCTGGCAAGGCATTTTCTGTGACAGTTTCTTTTGATTTCCATACACACCACCACCCTTCCACCCTCTCCCCAGTTCTCCTCCTGCCACCTCACCCCAAGGCCTAGATTGTGATTGTCCGGAGAACTTAGCACTCCTAGTGTGCCTTGAAGTCTTCCTTATCTTGTCCCATGGTATTTCTTAGTTATCTGATATGTATTTGTGCCAGAGTGAAACAAACACTCCCTCTCCTTCCCATTGTCTTTCTGCATGTTCTTCTGGTTGTTAGGTATCGGCCTCTTTGTAGTTGGGCCTGTTATGTTTTTATCTTTGGAAGGTTATCCTCATATCACTAGAAATAGTTAATGCTAGTAATTTATCATATTACGCACAGGTGGTTTTTGGGCATCTGTTGCATAATGTCAAAATTGAGAAAGGTTGTTTTTTTGCTACTTAAATGTTTTGGAGTAGGCTGGAGGTATGTGAGAGGGGAAAAAAAAGTTGCTCTTTACTCACCCTGGTATTTCTGTATAAGTTAATGGCCACTCTCTGAGATTGTGTAGTTAGATAGACCTTTGATCAAACTTGTTTATGCTTAGGTAGTTATCTTGAACAAAACTAAAAAATGCAAATTAGAGTATCATCTGGGAGAAGAAAATCTAATTGGTATTGTGTCACACTAGAATTTGGTATGTTTGAGGGTAAAAAGTATACATACTAAGCGTGTTGGATTGTATTAGTTAATAAATACTGC